CTAACAGCAACCCTGCCGTAAACCAAAGCCTAACCCTAACCCTAATGCCAAAACTGAACCCTACCTCAACCCTGAACGTAACGCTAACCAAAACGGTCAACCTAACCCGAAAACTAACACTAACCTTAACCCTCACCCTGATCCTAGATATGACCCTAAATCTAACCATAACACTCACCCTACCGCAACCCTAACCGTAACCATAACCCTAGCCCCTAATCCTAAACCTAACTCCTATCCCTGACCATAACCCTAACCCAAACCATACATCAAACCCCAACCCTGACTCTAACACTACCCCCAACCCTAACCCTCAATCTAACCCTCACCCTAATCCTACCGAAACCCTAACCCTAACTCTAAGCCTGACCCTATCACCACACCCTAACCCTGACCCCTGAATCTAACTGTACCCCTCACCCCAATTTAAGCCTAGCCCGGACCCTAACTCTAACCCTAACCTTCACCACTACGCCTGGCCATAAATCTAAATTTAACCCTAACACTCGCCCCCCTGTAACCAGAACACAAACCCTAACCCTAGGGCAAACCCCTAACCCTCAACCTAACTCCTGAACCTAACTGTAACACTAACCAAAACCATCACCTAACCCGAAAACTAACCCTAACTCTCACCCCTAAGCCTAGCCCTGACCCTAAATCTAACCTTAACATTCACCCGATCGTAACAGTAACCATAACCCTAACCCTAGCCCCAAACCCTAAACCTAACCCCTAACCCTGACCATAACCCTAACCGAAACCACAACCCAGACCCCAATGCTGACCCTAACACACCCCTCTAACCCTAAACCTCAATCTAACCCTCACCCTAACCCTACTGAAACCTAAGCCTAACCATAAGCCTGACACTATCACCCCACCCTAAACCTGACCCCTTAATCTAACCGTATCACTTCACCCCGACTTAAGCCTAGCCCGGACCCTAACCCTAACCCTAACCCCCACCCCTACTCCTGGCCCTAAACCTCAATTTAACCTTAATACTTACCCTCCTCTAACCAGAACTCAAACCCTAATAACCCTAGCCCCATCCACTAACCGTAACCCTAACTCCTGACCTAAACATAACACTAACTGAAACCGTAGCCCAAACCCAAACCCTAGGTCCAATCCTCTCCCCTGACCCTAATCCTCAATCTAAATCTAACCCTAACCATAACCCTGCTATAAGCCGAAGCCTAACCATAACCCTAATGCCAAAACTGAACCCTAACCCCTAACCCTAACCGTAACGCAAACCAAAACCGTCAACCTAACCCGAAAACTAACCCTAACCCTCACCCCAAATCCTAGCCCAGACCCTAAATCTAACCATAACACTCACCCTACTGTAACCCTAACTGTAACCCTAACCCTAACTCCTATCCCTGACCATAACCCTAATCCAAACTATAACTGAAAGCATAACCCAAACCCCAAACCTGACTCTAACACTCCCCACTAAACCTAACCCTCAATCTAACCCTCACCATAACCCTTCTGTAACCCTAACTCTAACCCAAAGCCTAACCCTATCGCCCCACCTGAACCCTGACCCCTGAACCTAACTGTACCCCTTCACCCTAACTTAAGCTTAGTCTGGACCCTAAACTTAACCCTAACCCTCACCACTACCCCTCGCTCTAAACCTAAATTTAACCCTAACACTCAGGCTCATGTAACCAAAACCCAAACCCTAACCTTAGCCCTATCCCCTAACCCTCACCCTAACTCCTGACCCTAACCATAACACTAACCCAAACCATAGCCCAAACCCGAACCCTAAGCCTAATCCTAATGCCTGACCCTAATCCTCAACATAAATCTAACATGAACCGTAACTACCATAAACCGAAGCCTAACCGTAACACTAATGCCGAAACCAAACCCTAACAGTGAACCCTAACCGTCAACCTAACCCAAAAACTATCCCTAACCATGACTCCTATCCCTAGCCCTGACCCTAAATCTAACCATTTCATTCACCCTACCATATCCCTAACCCTAGCCCCTAACCTGAAACCTAACTCTTAAGCCTGACCATAACCCTAATCCAAACCATAACACAAACACCAACCCTGACCTTAACACTCTCCCCTAACCCTCAATCTAACCATCACACTAACCCTACCGGAACCCTAACCCTAATCCTAATCCTGACCCTATCGCCCCACCGTAACCCTGACCCCTAAACCTAACCATACCTCATCACCCCGATTTAAGCCTAGCCCGGACCCTAACCCTAATCCTAAAACTCACCCATACCCCTGGACCTAAACGTAAATTTAACTCACCACTCACCCTCCTGTAACCAGAAACCAAACCCTAACCTTAGCCCCAACCACTAATCCTCTCTCTAACTCCTGACCCTAGTTGTAACACTAACTGAAAGAGTAGCCCAAACCCGAAGCCTAAGCCCTATCCTCTCCCCTGACCAATATTCTCAAGCTAAATCTAACCCTAACAGTAACACTGCTGTAAGCCGAAGCCTAAACTTAACCCTAAGGCCGAAACCAAACTCTAACACCTAAACTTAACCGTAACGCTAACCAAAACCGTAAACCTAACCCGAAAACTAACCCTAACTCTCACTAACCCTAGTCCTAACCCTAAATCTAACCAAAACACTCACCCTACCATAACCCTAACCGTAACCCTGACCCTAGCCCCTAACCCTAAACTTAACCCCTAACCCTGACCATAACCCTAATCCAAACCATAACCCAAACCTCAACCCTTACCCTAACACTCCCCACTAACGCTAACCCTCAATCTAACCCTCACCCCAACGCTACCGGAACCCTAACCCTAACCCTACGCCTGACCCTATATCCCCACCCTAACCCTGACCCCTGAACCAAACATTCTGCTTTATCCCAACTGAAGCCTAGCCCAGACCCTAACCCTAACCTTAACCCTCACCCCTACTCCTGGCCCTAAATCTAAATTTAACCCTAACACTCACCCTCTTGTAACGAGAACCTGAACCCTAACCCTAGCCCCAACCACTATCCCTCACCCGAACTCCTGATCCTAACCATAACACTAACCAAAACTGTAGCCTAAACCCAAACCGTAAGCCTAATCCTCACCCCTGACCCTAATCCTCAACCTAAATCGAACCCTAACTGTAACCATGCCATCAGCCGAAACCTAACTTGTCTCCTCGGGTATAGCAGGAATAGTTGTACTAGAATTCTGAATGTTAAGAAAATACACATAAATATGGACTACAGTTTTGCGGGCAAAGTACTTGAGTCTTATGTTGTCTCTCCTTAATTATTCTCTTGACCATGAATCTTATGTCATTATGGATTATTTATATTAAGAAGGATATTTAAGATTCAAGATGCTTCAGCATGATGCAAGAGAAAAAAACACTTCCATATTTCAGTGGGTTATTTTCATATTAACAAGTGTCTTTAAAGAAACAATAGTGGGGTCGGCAGGTGGTATGGTGGTTGGGGATGCTGGCCTCCCATATGGCTGACCGTGGTCCAAGTCTTGGACCTGGCGGTTTGCTTTCTCACTTTCTCTCTCTCTGTCCCTCTCTGGTCAAATTAAAATAAATAAATAAAGTTAAGTAAAATAATTCTTAAAAAAAAAAAGGGACTTAGTTCATTGCTTAATCAGTGAATTAAAATGAAAGATGTAAAGAATTCTTAATTCTGTTTTCCCCAAAAAATACCCTTGACAAGGGTAAATCCATTTGCTGTTTCCTCAGTTAAAAAAAGATATTTTGACGCCTTTTCCCTGAGAAAGCATTGAGAAATTTATTCTACTAAGAAAAGGGTCAACAGAGTAAAATAATTCTTACAGAGTTGCAAAGGGTCAACAGAGTTGCAAAGGGTAAGGTGCCAGGTAGCTGTGAGGGCCCAAAGAGTGGAATCCAGAAACCATACTCATAGCATTTTGGTTCAAGAATAGGAATCCAGAAATCATACTCATAGATTTTTGGTTCAAGAATAGTTTCAAGTTGAGTTAAGTGTTATATAAAATAATGATTACAATAGTTTAAAATTCCATTCTAAATAAATCATATTCTAAAAAATAAGAGTTTTAAATAGTCATGCTACTATTGATAATTGATGTGTATCAACATTAGTAAAAAATTATTTATTTTTAAAAAATAACTATTTTTAAAATAAGAAATTATATCTTGATGTCTGCATTAGTAAAGATGCAGTGTGGTATTGGAGGGGAAATACCATAAAATACTTTGAAATAATAATATCAGGAAATTTGTAGAACTTATAGAAAGAAAGAGAAGCATACAAGATAATGTTTCTAATTGAAGATAACTTAATAATTCATAAATAGAAAGACCAAGGCTATAAAGTGATTAATTCTACCCAAAGAAATTCATGCAACTAATGTACTCTTGGTCAAAATACCAATGGGATTTATGTATTTTTTTAAGATGACAAAATTGTGTTAAAGGTTAATTTTAGGGATCAGCAGATGGAGTAATGATTACATCGCTGAACTCCCACATAGTCGACTATGGTTTGAGTCCCAGACCTAGTGTCTCAAAAAAAAAAACCTCATGCTGGGCACATGCGCATGCATGCCCAAGATCCCAAGAGGAGAATAGAGGAAAAGGGATTCTGTGAGGCCATTCCCCCTTGGGGGTGATTTCTCACTTTCTGTCTTTCTGGCGAGATCACATGTTCTATAGCAGCAAATCTCTTTAAAAAAAATAAAAGATGAAATTTTAAAAGTAGTAGTGAGGGATCAGCCGGTGGCATAATGGTTAGGTTGCTGGACTCCCATGTACTTGACCGCAGTTCACGTCCTGGGCTCTGTGGTTTCAAACTCATGCCAGGCATGTGTGCATGTATGCCCAAAATCCCTACAGATGAATGGAGGAGAAGAGACTGCGGTGCGGCCATCCCCCTGGGGATTAATTTCTCACTTTCTATCACTCTCTCTGCTGAGCATATGCACCATGTAACAGAAATCTCTCAAAAATTAAAAAAAAAAAGTAGTAGTGAAAAGTGGTTGCTCCAGCAGCACATATACTAAAACTGAAATGATACAGAGAAGACTAGCACAGCCCCTTGCAAGGAAAATATGCAAATCTATAAACTGTTCCATATTTTACACAGTCGCCAGAGGTCACTGGACTATTTGTTGACTAGATCTAGTAAACTAGTGTGAGTCAAAACAAAATGGGTGGTGCACACAATATTGAAAATGTGACTTTCATTACAAAAAAATAAAAATTTGAAAGATAAGCCAAGGAAGAATTAAGAAGCTGAGTTGCTTTAGCCCTACTTCAGAAGAATCAAAATTGATACTAATTTTTGACAATTTGTCACAGAACACTTGATTTCTAGGACTAGATCAGCAAACCAGAGTTCTACATAAGCAGCTGCATGACCCTTGAAATACAAATAAAAGAGGGCTATAGTGTTAAGAGTTCTTCCTTTTAATATTAAGAGAGGGTAAGGAAACATATAAATAATACCTAGAAATAGAGCCTTCATATATAATATAACCTTAATAATGGTTGAAAATTATATCAGTCATTATTGGTAGAACATATTCATTGAATGCTTTAGTGTTGCAGCATTGTTTTTGACTGGTACAGGAAAACATTCAACATGCAGGTTTTATCTACTTTTTAAAAATAATCTTTGATTCAGTTGGTGAATTTATAAATTTTGCCATATAAAGCAAACTATTTATGTCATTATTTCAGCTCTATAAATCAACACAGTAATGACAGAAGAAAATCTTTGATAAAGAATTATATAATAACTTTTCTTTCAAGTTCAACGTAAATGATGTTGAACTGTGTGAATTGCTAAAAAATCAGATTTGCCCCTAGGTTTTCAAAGTCCACAAGGCTTCTTAGTTAATAGCAAGTCATGGTTTTTGAATTTAAAGAAAAAAAAATTTAGTAAGCTTTTGGGTTTTTTTTTGGAATTGCTAGAGGACACATATGCTCACCAGAGAAAGAGAGACAGAAAAAAAGAAAGCACTTCCCAGTGGGACACAGTCATGCCAAACCCCTCCTCCTCCATTTCTTCATCTTCTCAGGATTCTGAGCACACACACTCAGGCAACTGATGGGGCTGGGATTCAAACTGCAGTCAGTCAGGTGGGATCTGTCTCCCTCAACCACTAGGCTATAGGACCAGCCCAAAACTTAGTAAGCTTTTTATTTTTTAACTTGCCAAGTGGGTATATACACTCACTGGGGAGTGGGGAGTAAAGAAAGAGAGAAAGGGAGACAGAAAGAGAGAAAACAAAAAACCATAGGGGGAATGGTCACACCACAATCCCTCTTCCATTTCTCCCTCAACCGTTCAGCTGGTGATACAGGATCCAGCCACTTCAACCAACAGACAACAGACTGGGCCCAGTAAGCTTTTAATTTGTTGTATTTCAGTCAGTATCAAGTGCCCCTAGCCAAACTGACAGTTCTTTTCAGTCCTGTTGCTTACAATTGTGATAGTTCTTTGCTTTCCGTATTTTTCAACTTCATTACTGGCATCTTGATTCTATAAAACTTTGATGGAAAAGCCCCCACCCTTAAATAATTTCATCCATTTGAAATGACTGAAAGGCATCACTCCCTCAGTTGGACTTTTTAACTCTAAAACATCTTCCTTCAAAAATTCTAATAAATAGCTAAAACCCTTAATCTGATTGTTGCCACTTGGCTGAGGTTTAATCAATTCGGTGACTCAAAAACCTCTCAGTTTTCTGTTTTATAAGCTGGAGCTGAGAAACAGTTGCCTCTTTGATCTTGGACCACCTCAAATTCATGTACTCTATTTCTATTCATTTCTACTTGTAAGCTGACTTAATTTTTCCTGACCTTGTTTATTTCATATAATTCCCAACCAAATGCAGCCAATATCAAATAATGCATACTACTAAAGCTGTGGGGCTTTTTTTTTTAAGAATTATTTTTTTTATTTTAACTTTACTTATTATCATTATCATTATTATTTTTCCGTTTGATCAGAGAGAGACAGAGAGAAAGAGAGAGAGGAAGTGAGAAAGCAAGCCACCAGGTCTGAGATTTGAACCGTGTGGTCAGCCATGTGGGAGTCCAGCGCCTTTAACCACCATGCCACTTGCCGGCCCCAGTTTTGTTTTGTTTTTTTTTAATTTGCTATAAGGCATGTACACTTCTGAGAGAGAGAGAGACGGAGAGAGAGCCAGCACCCCTCATCAGGGATGGCCGGCCACAACCCCTTCTCCTCCACTCTCCCATTGGTATTTTGGGCATGTATGCACATGTACTCAGTATGTTCATCAAGCTGCCAGGTCCAGGACTCAACCATGCAGCTGGCCATATGAGATCCTACCACCTTAACCATCATGCCACTAGCTGGCCCAAACTGTATTGTGTTTATTATTATTATTATTACTATTATTACTATTTTCCATTAAAGAGAGAAAGGCAACTACTGAAAATGAAGACTGATGAAGAATTAATTATCTAGTTTACATTATAATTGCTCTCTTTATCTCAGTCCTCCAAAGATCCAGAATTATAGAAATGTAACCCTACCATATACTTTCAAGAGTCCTGAAGTGGGAGAGAAGTAATATGGAAAGTCTTGCACAAGTTCTTAGAGGTTTCAAGAAGAATTTACACCAATCGCTTGGCTAAAGCAAGTTACACAACCATAATAACAGGGAAGCTTACTATGGATATAGAAGAAAGAGAGCTACAAGTATTTGGACTACAAAAATAAGGTATTCAAAACGGGGCAGTATTAAATAATTGTTTCATTCTTTGATTATAACTACAATTTTGCTAATGCAATATTTGTAATCAATGCGAACATAAAAGAGATGAAATGGCAAAAACAATACTGAATTCCTCAATAAAGATATGCACATTCAGTGACAGAGTCTCAAGTTATTAACGTGTACTGTCTGATCAAATCACAAATTCGGAACAATAAACAAAAACTTAATCTCAAGGTCTTTTTAAATTATTAATATGCTCCTATATTCCTGTCTAAAACATAATGACAGTCAACGATAAGAAAGAATAAAATGTATCAAATAATTTTCTAAACAAAGATGAAGTAGGATTATTTCTATATAATTCTTTCAAATACTCGTCATTTCGAAAACCTTCAGATAATATATTACTATTTACACAGCATTCAATCAGTAACTTAATTACAAATATATAGCCATATTCTTTAGTGTTTCATAAATACTGCACAGGGTAATTAATTGCTTGTATGTATCTCTTATCTATGTCTATGAAGGTCATAATTCATAAACAAAGCAAAGTGTCCAACTAACTAATCTCAAATTTTTGAGGGGTCCTCATTTTGTTATCTTTATAGGTAATAGTGGCAATAAATTATTTTCTTACTTGAACTACTAGACTGAAAAGCTATAAACAGTAAATAAATACTTGAAATTTTTAAATAAATCTTACATGATCAAATCTTGTTTGAAAAATATTTTGAAATTCTACAAAATTACAATAAATAGTAGGAGCTCTGTATTTTATATTTAAAAGCATATATGTTTAAGAAGATGTTTTTTAAGGAAAGGGGAAATTTTCAAGGAATAGTGCTTATTTTATTTTTAGCAACAAACATAAAGTATGGACATTATATACCTAGGCAGATAATGGGAAAAATAAAATATCTGTACCTTTTTAGATTGTCTTCTGAGTAAAATTTATAGGAACCAGCAGATGGTGTAATGGTCACATCACTGGATTCTCATATAGTTGACCATGTAAAGTCCTGGCCCTGGTGGATTAAAACTCACACCAGATGCATGTGCATGGGTGCCCAAGATCCTGAAAGGAGAATGGAGAAAGGATTTCAGTGTGGCCATCCTCCCGGAGGGTGATTTCTTGCTTTCTATCTCTCTGTCTCTCTCTGTCTCTCTGACGTGCAAACACACTCTATAGAAAAAAAATAATCTCTCTTAAAAAGAAAAAGGAAGGGGTCAACAGGTGGCGTGGTGGTTTAAGAGTGCTGGACTCCCATATGGCCAACCGCAGTTCAAGTCCTGGACCTGGTGACTTGCTTATTCACCTTCCTCTCTCTCACTCTGTCCTTCTCTGGTCAAATTTAAATAAATAAAGTTAAATAAAATAATTCTTTAGAAAAAAGAAAACTTACATCAAGTTGAAGTGCTAAGGTTTAGACATCTCAAGTGTATGAGTCTGTCTTCATCTACAGCAATTAGAGCAAATTGAAGAAAAGTAAAATAAATGTAGACTTTCAGTCAACATTATAAAAATCTTGGTATTGTTTCTCTGGGTATGCAATGTCCAGGTCCTCAAGAAGTTTGTATCCAGATTGGAAAATGTCCCCTGAAAGTAAAACCAAAGATAAAAATAATAAAAATGGCATCTAACGGATGTATTTGAAATAAAAAGTAGAAAAAAGCAAATATTCTAGAAAAAATTTTAGAGAAGGATCAAAGTTAATTTGACTACATATATATTTAAGAAAAGAAAGTGTAAAGCAAGCCAGTTATTAGGAACTTTGTCTTGCATAACTAAGTTTAATAAGATTTTAATTACAAATTTTTTACTCTAACTTACTTTTTTTTTTGGAGAGGTTTTTACCATAGGGCATGTGTGCTCGCCAGACAGAGAGAGACAGAGAGACAGAAAGCGAGAAATCACCCCCCAGGGGGGATGGTCACGCCGCAATCCCTTCTCATCCATTCTCCTCTCGGGATCTTGGGCACGCACGCACGTGTGCCCGGCGTGAGTTTTAAGCCACCGAGTCTGGGACGCGAACCACGGTCAACTACGTGGGAGTCCAGCGACATAGCCATTACGCTAACTGCTGGTTCCCAAAATATTCTTGATGGTATAGTATAATGAACTGAAAATTCAGAATATTTATTGATCTCCACTTTCATTCCAAATCTGCCAATATGACAGACGAAAAATAATAAATGAAAAATAACTCTAGAAACAAGAAATGATACCAAAAAGGTAATAAATATTGCATATTTTAGAAGATAGAAGGCAGAGAGCTCTGTGGCCACTACTGCATAATACAATGCAGAAGAGAAATGACTGAGGAGTGATGTAGTTACACAATACTCCACAGATAATATTTCTAAGAATTGGATAAGCTAAATTGTTTTTAAAATTATTAAATATGTATAAAGTATTACAAAGGAAATAGATGCAAGAAAGGAGCTTAATCTTTAAAAGGGTATATCTGAAAAGAGTATAAACTTTGATTTTGTGAAAATTTTCTGTCCTGCAGGCACTGCCCAACCCCTACAGCTAAAGAAAATGATGTAGGGGGAAACCACAGGCAGACTCAGTTAAAGAGCCAGGTACCAGAGTTCAATGCAGGAACGGCAGCTGTAAATTCAAAGGGAAACTCCTGACAGTAAGAGAACTATGAGAAGAAATAGATCAAAATTCAGAGCATGAGTTGTCCAAAAATACCAGGCTGAAAGTAGAGTGCAAAGCACAAGAAGGGACCAAAGACAGGGCTACTCTCGAAAGATAAAGCTATCAAAAAAAAAAAAAAAAAAAAAAGATAAAGCCATCCAGAATCTGACCTAATGCTTTTCTTTTTTGAGTACATTTGCAGCTGTGCACAACTTGGCCACAGAAAGCTTCAAGTATCTAAGTACAGAGTCCAAAATTGTAGAACAGCTGGAAATTAAGGAGGAACCCATTTAATAGCTAGATAATGAAATGGCTAAGAAAAGAATCAGTAAACTTAAAGCACTAGAAAGTCTCCAATCCAAGAACAGAGAGTGAAAAACAAGAGTAGAATCTCTAAATTGGCCTAACATATACAGCATTGGAAAACCAGAAAGAAAGGAGAATGACAAAGAGGTAGAAAAAGTATTTGAAACATATTAAATAAAAATGTACAAATTTGATAAATACATTAATTTTCAGTTTCAGGAAGGTGAACAAATCCCAAACAAAATAAATAAAAAGAAATCCACTCATTGCCACATCAGAGACAAACTCCTATAAAACAAAAATAGAGAGATAGTCTTAAAAGAAGCCAAAATATTTCTAGAGGCTGGATAAAAGAGGATCTCATTAATTTTAATGCCTGTCTTATTAGAAATCATAGACGCCACAAGATATTATGTTAAAAACACTAAAGGATAAAAAAATACATGGACATTTTCAGATTAACAAAAAATGGCAGAAACTGTCAGGAACAGATATGCAATGTTAGAGATGCTAAAGGAGTTCTTCAATCTGATAACTCAGATCTGTAAGAAAGAATAAAACACATCAGAGATGGTAAAATTATGGATCAATATAAAGACAATATCAATATAATTTTTTCTCTCTTGATTTTTATAAATTATAGAACTTTATAAACAAAAATTATTTCATTTAATGTAATCACTGATATAGTTAAAATTTCAATCTCTTGTTTTCCTATTAGATTTTAATTTGTTCTCTTATTTTTTTATTCTTTGTTATATAGTGTGTCCACTCACCAGAGAGAGACAGAGAGAGAGAAAGAGAGAGAGAGAGAGAAAGAGAGAGAGAAAGAAAGAAATCACCCTCCAGGGAGAATGGCTACACTGTTAATACCTTCTCCTCTATTCTCTTCTTGGGATCTCGAGCATACACACACACCTGGTGTGATTTTCAGCCACTGGGCCCAGGACTCCAACCACTCAGTCACCTATGTGAGGTCCAGAGCCTTAACCTCCATTCCACCTGCAGGCCCTATTTTTTTTCTTTCCTTTTATCTTTTTTATTTTTTTTTTTGCCTTTTTGTGTGTATTAATCAATTACATTACATTTCAAAATGCTATTGAAATGCTTCAGTTTACTTTTTATCTCTGCATATTTTATTGGTTGCTCTAAAGATTACAATATGTATCCCTATACCTATCCAGTTTATTTACAGATAACTTTAAATTACTTCTAGTAAGTATAAGAGCCTCATAGCCATACACGCTTCCACTTCCTTCCCTTTCTCATGGTTATTTTTTCCTATAAAGCAATAAATAACATGTAATAGATTTACTTATATGGTTATAAAATTTACAAAGCAAGCAGCACTGTAATACCAAAGCCAAGCAAGGATGCTATGAAAAGAGAAAATTACAGACCAATATTCCTAATGAACATAGGTGTAAAAATTCTTAACAAAATACTATAAATCCAATTCGACAAAACATTAAAAGAATCACACAGGCTGGCCTGGAGCCTGGTGGTTAAAGGTAGTTGGTTCCCACATGGTCAACCACTGTCAAGACCTGGCCCAGGTGCTTAAGAAATACGCCAGGCACTATGTGTGTGTATGCCTCAAATCTCAACAGGATAAAGAAATGGAGAAGAGGGACCAGCAGTTAGCGTAATGGTTATGTGGCTGGACTACCTTGTAGTCGATCACGGTTCAAGTCCCGGACCCGGTGGCTTAAACTCATGGTGGGCACATGTGGGTGCATGCTGAGGATCCCAAGAGGAGAATGGAGGAGAAGGGATTGTGGTGTGGCCATTCTCCCTGGGGGGGGGTGATTTCTCGCTTTCTATCTGTCTTTCTTGCGAGCGCACGTGCCCTATAGCAAAAAACTCTCAAAAAAAAAAAAAAAAAAGAAAAAAAGAAAGAAAGAAACAAAGAAATGGAGAAGAGATTGCACTTTCTTTGTGACTAGGCCCCACTGGAGGCTACTTTCTCCATCTTCCTGTCTCATCTCTCTCTAAAGAGCACATGTGGTCCTCTGGCAATCAAAAAAAAATCACATACTTTGATTAAGTGGGATTAATCCTAGGATGTGAGAATGGTCCATTATATGCACATCAATAAATATACTAATTAACAGATTAAAAACAAATATTATATGATCATCTTAATAGGTACAGAAAAATGTTTCAACAAAATTCAAAATATGAAGAGAAAATATTTGTAAATTATATACCCAATAAAGGGTTAATATCCAAAATAAATAAGCAACTCATACAACTCTACAGCAAAAGAAGCAAATTACAAAGTTAAAAAATGGGCAAAGGGCCAGAATAAAATATCTCTCCAAAGAAGAAATACAAATATCAAAGAGATATGTGAAACTATAATGAGCTACCACTTCATACCTGTTAGGATGGCTATGATCAGAAAGATAAGGGGCGGTGAGGACATACCGAAAGGGAAATTTAGACACTATTGGTGGAAATGTAAGTTGGTACAGCATTATGGAAAATATTTTGAAGTTCTAAAAATAGTACTACCAATCGGACTTCTGATTATGTATTCCGAATCATTGAAATCAGGATCTCAATGTGACATTAGCACTCCTATGTTCACTATAGCACCATTCACAATAGCCAAGATGTGGAAACAACCTATGTGAACTGACAATGAATGAATAAAGAAAATGTGGTATATACATTCAGCAGAATACTATTCAACCATTTACAGGTTGAATACTATTCAACCTGTTGTGGTAATGTGCCACAACATAGATAAATCTTGAAGTCTTTATGCTAATCAAAGAATAACAAATACTGGATGATTCCATTTATATGAGGTATCCAAAAGAGTCAAATCCATAAAATCAAACAATAGAGTGGTAGTTTCCAGGGGCTGGGAGGAGGAAATCAGGAGTTGTAATCAGTGGGTATAAAGTTTTAGTCAAGATGAATAAAACTCAAGAGATCTACTGTAGAACATTGTACTTACAGTTAGCAAGAATGTATTGTATGCTTAGAAAACTGTTAAGAGGACAGATCCAGATTAATTATTCTTATTACAATGAA